AACAGGCACAGATAGCACTCTTTATGTGCCACCACTGTTCTAATGCTTTAGAAACACTAGCCGATGTAATTCTCCTAATGACACCAGGTGGCACTGCTGTTATTTTTAATTTTATTACATTTATTGGGGTGACATTGGTTAATAAAATGATATAAGTTTCAGGTGTACAGTTCTACATTCCATCATCTGTATACTGCATTGTGTGCTCGGTCATTCAAGATCAAGTCTTCTTCCAACATCCCCTCTACCCTTTTCCACCTTCCCCCACCCCACTTCCCTCTGGCAAAACCCTACTTTTGTCTGTGTCTATGAGTTTTTGTTTGTCTTATTTGTTCATTTGTTGCTTTCAGTTTTATATCCCACACAGAGGTGAAATCAGGTTTTTGACTTTCTATCTGACTTATTTTGCTTAGCATATTTTCAGGATCCGTCCACGTTGCAAATGGCAGTATTTTATCTTTCTGATGGCTGAGTAGTATTTCATCATATATATATATACATACCACATCTTTATCCAATTATCTATCGACGGACACTTCAGTTTTTGGTTGTTTCCATGTCTTGGTCACCGTGAATAATGCTACAATGAACATATATCTTTATGAATAAATGTTTTCAAATTTTTCAGGTAGATACCCAGAAGAGGGATTCCTGGGTCATATGGTGACTCTATTCTTAGTTTTTTGAAGAACTTCCATACTGTTTTCCAAGGTGGTTGTACCAATTTACATTCCTACTAGCAGAGTATATGAGGGTTCCTTTTTCTCCACAACCTCGACAACACTTATTATTACTTGCCTTGTTGATAATAGCTATTTTAATAGACGTGAGGTAGTATCTCACTGTGGCTTTGATGTGCACTTCCCTAATAGCTAGTGAAGTTGAGCATCTTTTCATTTATCTGCTGGCCCTGTCTATGTCTTCTTGGGAGAAGTGTCTGTTGAGGTACTCTGTCCATTCTTTAATTGGATTGTTTGTTTTCTTTTGTTGTTGTATGAGTTCTTCATATATTTTGGATATTAACCCCTTATCAGAGGTGTTTGCAAATATCTTCTCCCATTCAGTTAGTTGCCTTTTTTGTTTTGATGTGCAGAAGCCTTTTAGTTTGATATAGTTCCATTCATTTAATTTTGCTTTTCCCTTGCCTTGGAGATTAAATTCATAAAATCATCTGTTCAGTCCAAGGTCCATAAGTTTGTTACCAATGTTTTCTTCTATGTATTTTATTGTTTCTGGTCTTATATTTTGGTCTGTAATTCGTTTCGAGTTAATTTTTGTGTATGGTGACAAATAGCAGTTAAGTTTCATTCTTTGCATATGGCTTTCCAATTTTCCCAGCACCATTTATTGAAGAGGCTTTCTTTTCTCCATTGTATGTTTTTGGTTTCTTTGTGAAAACTTATTTCCTCATATAAATGTGGGTTTATTTCTGGGCTTTCAATTCTGTTCTGTTGGTCTGTGTGTCTGTTCTTCATGGCAGTGCTGTTATTGTCCCCAAATTACAAACGGGGATACTGCAGTGCAGAGGGTTATCAGGTCCCACAGCAGGAAAGTGGGGAGCCAGGCAGATGGCTGAGCTCACATTCTCCTCCCCCTCCACCATGCAGCCTCCTGTGATCCATGTGAAGTGGCCCCTGGGGGAGCAGCCCACTTGCAGTATCTCAGGACATTACAGCCCTTGAGCTCCTCAGGCACAAGCGTGTGACTTAACTTTTTGTTTTCACTGTTTTAGGTGCATGTTAACTTTTCTCTTAAATCTCATGTCCTATAAAGTCTTTTCTTATTCAAAACTAGTGATCCGGTGCACGGATTTGTACACATTGAAAGGAAATTAATTAGAAGAACTATTTTAATATCGCTATTTGCCCTTTCTCTATAATAGAAGTATCAGAGATGAAAGAAAATTAGTAAAATGTATATGAAAATAGTGTATAAATTGATTAATAAATAAACAATAACAACATGATATAACAATAAAGACATGATGATATAAAAACATTTTGAATTAATTTAAATGGGAGGCCAGTGTCAGATGGGGACAAATATTGCTCATGCACAAGTCAATGTTTATTTTTAAATTGCTAGTGTGTGTCATATGTACCGGTCGGACGGTTGTTCAGTTGGTCACTTAGCCTTTTATATATATAGATGAATGAAAGGCATAGTGATGACAGTGGTAATAATAGCTCATGTTTGTTAGAATCCATGCACTAAAATTATGTGTAACATCCTATGGGGTAGTGGAATTTTGCCCAATTTATAAATAAGCAGCCTGAGTCTTCAAAAGGTTAAATATCTTGGCAAGGGTTTCAGAGATAGTTTTGGTGCTAGAATGGAGGGCTTTGGCCTCAGCTGTATTTGGGGTGAGTGAGGGAGTTAGGTTCAAGGGATGCAATTATGAGGCTCATTTTCAAGGGAAAATGATTTTGTGAACTCAATTTTAGAGAGGCCACATGGACAACAGAAATGAGCATGAGATTAGCTGACCTTAGATTGTAATGTTGCTTTTATGGGAAACCAGATTCTTGAGATTTTTGAATTATCTTAATGGAATTTAAAACAGTTCAATTTTACAAGTCAGTTTCCCCAGTGTAGTCTACCAATAAGCTGGTGATCTGTAATGGTGTGCACATTTAGGAATAATCTTTTACAGCTTTAATAGGATTGTGTTTGTTTTTATTTGTAGTTATTTGCTTCTAGTTTGTCATAATCAAGCATTATAGTTATTGGAGAAAATGAAGAATGGTAAATGCTTTCAGTGTTTTAACTACCTAGTGAGATTGTATTACGGGTAAAGTTTTGTACAATTAAATAGATGTAAATTCACTTGAACAATAGCTCTAAAATTAAACATGCTAACATGTATCCTGAAATTGAGGCAGTACCTGTGTTGATTTCTTATGAGGACCAATGTGACCCAGTCAGTAAAAATCTTTTTCTAGCTGTACTTGAACTATTGATTATACTAGGGGCCCAGTGCACGAATTTCTGTACCTTGAAAGGAACTGTGGGCTACGAGGCTGTGGTGGGCACTGGGACGGGTCTCGGCCCATCCTCTGCATCCCCGCCCACCCCCTCCCGCCATGGCCCTCTGGTTCCCTGTCTGTTGGCAGCCCCACTCCTGCCTCCGCAGCTCCCACATGCTGATGGCACCGGCCCCGCTTGCACCTGCTGATGGCATGGAGAGATTGGGGTTGGCGCCAGCAGCGGGTATGAGCAGGGCCAGCACCATCAGGGGGTGCGAGCCATGGCTGCTGCCCTTATTGCCCCTCAGGAGCAGGGGAAGGTGGAGAAGCCTCAGAAGCAATCGAGGCTGGTGCCAGGTGCTGGCAGCGGGAGCAAGCAGGGCCATTGTTGGCAGCAGGTGCGAGTGGCGGAGGATGGGCCGAGACCCGCCCCAGTGATCACCCCTCAGGAGCAGGGGAGGGTGGAGAAGCCCTGAGGGGTCATCAGGGCTAGCAGCTGCTGCTTGCACCTGCTGATGGTGCCGAGCGATCAGGGCTGGTGCCGGGTGCCGGCAGTGGGTGCGAGCAGTGGCTTTGGCGCCGGCAGCAGGTGCGAGTGCTGGGCGGGACTGTGGCGCACGGAGCAAAGAATTTTCAGTAACCACTGGAGGCTCACTCCGATGACAGCGACAGGCACCCCGCCTTGGTCTGGCGCCTCCACTCACCTGCTCCACCATCCCACCACGGCCGATGCCCTCCATGTTCCATGCTCTGTCACCTGCTGTCGATGCCTTCCATATTCCACGCATGCCCCCTGGTGGTCAGCACACATCATAACAACCTGTTGTTTGGTTGTCCCGCTGTTCGGTCTATTTGCATATTAGGCTTTTATATAGATACATGATTAACCACACTTGAAGTTAGGTAGCAGTGTGTTAACATGTAATGCACTCTTTTTTAAAGACCACAATGATGACTCAATGTATTAAAGACACCCTAACATTTCTTTTTTTTTTCAGCTCATATGTTAGATTTGATATAATTCGAAGGATCCTAACCAGGGTTTTTGGATGCAACATCATCATGGTGATGGGGATTACAGATGTGGATGATAAGATAATTAAAAGGGCCAATGAAGTAAGTGTTGAAGACTATGGATTGATAACTTGATTGATGAGTGTTTTTACCTCTATGTAGCAGTTTTTCTTATTTGTATTTCACAAGTACTTTTCCCATCTGACTATTCAGGTATGTGTGCTCTGACAGGTAACCAGAGGGATCTCTTTGTCCTGGTGAAGGAAGCTCAGGTCTATTTGATTTTGGTCCCTGAAGTCTTTAATGAATTGCCTTATTAAAGGGGACTCCTGACTTGAATCTCTAATCTCTTTCCTGGCCCCTCAGCGTCCGCGGTAAATACTTTACTCCCTCTTTACAGAGGGAAATTAAAAGGCTACTTTTAGGCTAGCGAAGTTAAGCTCGTGTGAGGTTTAATGTTATCATTTGTTAAGAGCGAACAGGTTATTTCTCTTATAACTCACATGACAGTTAAAGGAAGTTTTGGGTGTGAGCATTCTAGTGAAGAATTAAATTAATAGTTATAGGAATAGTCAAGTCTACTTTCACCTCTTCTGCTTTTTATAATTAGCAACTTAATTATCTCTAAAGGGCTATAAATAATTGTTAAATTATCTAATTTTCAGAAAAAACTACATTGAGTACTTTACATTCCTGTGATTTTACAAAATTACTCCACACTCATTCCTCTACCCCCACCTCCTAGGAGGGAAGGGTGGCCTGAGGTGGAGCTGATCATCAGGAGCCAATGATTTAATCAACCCTCCTACGTAATGAAGTCCCCATATAACCCCAAAGGACAGGGCTCGGCACCTGCAGGGCTGGTGAACCCAGGGAGGTGCTGGTGGGCGGGAGGTGAGAACTCAGAGGGTAGGGGAGCTCCGCCCCTTTCCCATACCTTGCCCTATGTATCTCCGCCATCTGGTATCCTGAGTTGTGTCCTTTTAAATAAACTGGTAGTAAGTAGACTGCTTTTCTGAGTTATGTGACTCATTCTGTCAGGCCCCCAAATTGTAGTCCGTGGGTAGAAATACAAGTGGCCTGGGAACCACCATTTGCAGCTGGTGTCCGAAGTGGGGGTGGTCTTATGCGATTGATCCCCTAACTTATGGGGTCTGTGCTAACTCCAGAAGTTGGAGGGTACCCTGTAGAGTTGGAGAATTGGAGAAGTGGTTGGTGTTGGAAAGAAAACGTTGCAGGGCCAGAAGTGAAGATTGGGCAGTGCCCCATCCCTGGTTCGCTAGGACAGTTTGGTTTAAGCCTCCATCAACATTGCCTCTGCCCCATGTCCAAATTCCTACCTATGTTAGGTGTCCCTGGGGTCATGTGTCCACTTTGGTCCAGCCACTTAGTCCTTGGAGGCTGTGACATACCAAAGTGGCCAGGGGTGAGCGAAGGGCAGATCGGGGAGGGGAGATGGTGGTGGGAAGCAAGAGAGGCTGCTCTGTGTCTGCAACAGCCAACCCTGCAGCATCCTGACAGGTGTGACACATTATCACTTTTCACACAGGAAGAGGCAGGGTTTGAGATTGAAGTTGACCTCGCTGGCTGCATTTGGGATGGAAATGACAGAATGAAATTAGTGGCCTTTGATATAGTGAGGGGATCGATAGGGAACAGATGAATTATTCAGTAAAAAATGTTGACAGTTGAGTAACCATCTGGAGGAAAAAAATAAACCAAAGTTGGATATATGCTTCACAACCAAATTCAAGGCAGATCAGAGATTTAATATAAAAGAAATGAAACCACAAATTACTGACAGAACCTTGGGGCACTTTTTATAGCCTCATGTTGGAGAAGGCTTTTCTGTTTGTTTTCAAACCCAGAAGCTATTTGTAGGAAAAGATTGAGAAATATAAAAGATTGCTAAATATTAAAATAAAATTTTCTACATGGCCATGTTTATTTGATTGATTGATTGATTGATTGATTGGTTTTAGAGAGGGAGAGGAAAGGGGAGAAGAGAGGCAGAGACATCAATTTGTTGTTCCACTTTTTTATGCATTCATCAGTTGACTCTTTTTTTTAATATATTTTATTGATTTTTTACAGAGAGGAAGGGAGAGAGATAGTTAGAAACATCAATGAGAGAGAAACATCGATCAGCTGCCTCCTGCACATCTCCCACTGGGGATATGCCCGCAACCCAGGTACATGCCCTTGACCGGAATCGAACCTGGGACCCTTCAGTCCGCAGGCTGACGCTCTATCCACTGAGCCAAACTGGTTTCGGCCATCAGTTGACTCTTATAAATTATGTGCTCTAATTGGGGATCAAACCCACAACTTTGATGTATCAGGACAATGCTGTAACCAACTGAGCTATCCAGCCAGGCCTACCATAAAGTTTAAAAACTGAAAAAAAAAGTTGAAATTCATATCAGAGATAAAATGTTAATTTCTTTTATATAAAAGTATTTTCTACAAATCAGTAAGAAAAGACCTACAACTCAATAGAAGCATGGGGGATATGGATAATTATAAATCATTTAATACAAATTGTTTGTAAACATGTGAGATGTTCAAGCTCACTCAAAATAAGAGAAGCATGAATTAAAATTACAGTGAAAAAACATTTTTTTAGCTGTCATGTCGACAATCTGGGAGTTTGCTAGCACTTTGCAGTGTAGGCACCTGCGTGCATTGCAGGTCAGGTTCAAATCAGTACACCTTCCTCGGAAGGCAGCTGGCAGGGGCTAGCAAACATTTCTGACCAGTGGCTTTACATCTAGGTCTATAGCTTAGAAATGACATGTGTTGTCATGTGTGTCTCAGTAAAAAGATGGGAAAGTAATTGGAAAGGACTGCTGAATAGTTCATGAAAAGTCTGGAATGGGACGCAGAGGACCTTAGAAAGGAAGGTAGTGGCTCATCAAGCTCTGTGCGGACAGTTCTGGAACTTCATTGTTAGAAAAGGAAGCCAGGTGCAGGCCAAGTGTGGAAGGTGCTACATTTCAAGAAGAGGATGCAAATACATGTGTGACCATGGCCGTGCTCCTGAGACAACTGGTGATGGTGTTGGCCGTCTGGAGGGAGGCTCGTCCTGGGCACCCTTATGTCATCCGAGTTCCCTGGGAGTGGGTTTCCTGTGCAGAAAACAGAAATTACAGATGAATAGCCCTGGCCGGTGTGGCCACTTGGTTGTGTGTCATCCTGTACACGAAAAGGTTGCTGGTTCAGTTCCCAGTCAGGGCACATGCCTGGGTTGCGGGTAGGGGGCGTGCAGGAGGCAGCCGATTGATGTTGCACTCTCACATCATCGTTTCTTTCTCTCCCTCTCCATTCCTCTGTCTCCAAAAATCAATTTTAAAAAATATATATTTCAAAAATTACGAATAAATACAAGCAATTAGCTGACCATTAGGTCCAAAATTAAAAGCTTCTAAAGTGAAAGCTAACACTGAAGTTTTAGCTTTTTTATTTGTTTGGCCTTTTGTCTTCTGGATATAAATAAGTTAACTTTTTTTTTAGGAGGTCAGCTTTGCCACAAAGCTGTACCATAGGAAAAGGACTAATATGTACTGATCACTAGCTGTGTCTGGGTGCTAAGTGTTTTGTCTCTTTAATAGTGATATTAATGTAGTTTTTCCATTCACAGTGGTGACTTTCTCATTGCATCCTCATAGCAATCTAAAGGCCATTAGCTGGGATTTTCTTCGTGTTGCAGAGATAGCCGAAGGCCCCGAGGTTTATTGTCTTGCTCAAGACAACACAGAAGACACTTGGGCAGCAACGCTTTGTCCACCAGATTCCTTTCTTCAGTAAATGTTCATTGGTTGCAGTTTCCAGGGTGATTGCTACTTTAGGGTCCTGGGCTGGTAAGAACGTGGGTTTAGGGTGTTGTTTCACTTGAGAAAGTTTCTTAATACTCCAGAGCTGAAATCTCTCCCCCATAAAATGGGAGCTCTGTTTCTCAGGGATGGGGAGGAGCAGGGGAGAGGAGGACCCGGCCTGGAACAGATGCCACAGATGCTGGGTGAGTTCCAGTGGCTCCCGGGTCACTTCACAGGCTCAACAGTTACGAAGCTGCGTTTAGTTTCATAACTTCACAGTGTGTCGTGCTTCTGTCCTGGGAGTGTTTTTCTGCTGAAAAGTAAGGAATACTTTGTAAACCTAGTTTTGTGTGCCAGCCCCCTGTAGATCTGGGGCTGCAGGTACTTGCCCCCATATGCCGTACATTCAGAAATCGATGTCCGTTTGTGGTGGGGGATTGCCTGTCCCCAGGAGCCCAGCTATGGCCCTGTGGGATTGAACACCCGTCACAATCCCTATTTTCATATGCTGTATTGCTTTCAAATATTTCTTAGAGAATTCCTCTGCGATATATTTTTAGTCTGTTTACTTTTGCCTCCTGAGGGGTAAGGTATAAGATAGGAACTCAAGTTTCTGGCTATTATGTACAGTAGATTGATCTGGCTTATCCTTGTTCTAGAAAAACAGAGGCACCCTGGCTGGTGTGGCTCAGTTGGTTGGACGTTGTCCTGTGCACTAACAGGTTGCTGATTCAGTTCCCACTCAGGGCGCATACCTGGGTTGCGGGGGATCTCCGTAGGGGGCATGCGGGAGGCGGCTGATTGATGCTTCTCTTTCTCTCACCCTTCCTCCCTCTCTCTCTAAAAATCAATAAAAATAAAAATACGTTTTAAAAAACAGGCTTAGTTTTTGTTTTGAAAATTATATAACGAAAATCATCACATTGTTTATTTCTTTTTTCTCTCTAACCTGAATACAGGGTCAACAAACCTTTTTGAGTAGCTAAGCTACTAGAATAAGTTTGATACCTAAAATTAAATGCCCTTTTTGTGAGCAGGATGTCAAACTGAGGCCAAGCCACGACGGGCCATGCGGCCCAGCCCTCCCAGCTGTGGGAGCCGGTGGAGCCCTGTGTGGCTCTGTTGTGAATACTCCGGATTGCCTAATAGGCTCACCTAATCTTCTTGCAGATGAAGATATCACCTGCTTCTCTTGCCAACCTTTATGAAGAAGATTTTAAACAAGATATGGCAGCCTTGAAGGTAAAGAAGGGTGTTGCTTATTCTTTCTGCCATGAAGATAAGAAGCTTGAGCACTGAAAGCCGGTTTTGGCTGACTTGCTTTTGAACTATGGAAACCGTTATCTCTCCTTTGCTTTCTTTCAGGTTCTCCCACCCACAGTATACTTGAGAGTAACTGAAAATATTCCTCAGATCATTTCTTTCATTGAAGGAATAATTGCTAATGGGCATGCTTACTCAACAGCAAGAGGTGGGGCTATTTTATAAACACTAATTGTTGGTAACATTGATGGGACTTTGAGAAACTGGACACATTCTTATGAGTTGTTGGAGCGTGCCAGATGTTTTACTGTCTCTCAGTGTGATTCCTACAGTGAAAATGTGAGGTTTTCTTATGGTTATTGTCTTTGCATAAATGGCTGGATCAGTTCTTTTTGTTGTTGTTAATCCTCATCCGAGGATATTTTTTCCATTGATTTTTAGACAGAGTGGAAAGGAGGGGGAGAGACAGAGACACACACACACACACACACACACACACACACACACGCACACACACACACACACACACACACACATAGATTGGTTGCCTTCTGCATGCAACTGAGTCTGCAACCAAGGTACGTGCCCTTGACCAGAATCGAACCCGGGACCCTCAGTCACTCTATTCACTGAGCCAAACCAGCTAGGATGCATCAATTCTTTTAAAAAGTATTTCCACGGTTACAGGAAGAGATGACCAACTGGAGAGCTAGTCTAGACAAGCCAAATATGGCATGATGCTAACAATGTTGTACTAGATGTAGGTGTGCAGGTGTCCTTTGAGTCTTCTTTCAACTTTGTTCACATTTTTATAGCAAACAGTTGAGGACAGTGGCAGCACCTCAAAAGGTCCACCTCCTTGTGGAAGACTGGCCCTTAGACTGTCATCTCCTTGGATGGGCAGTTGTCTTTTTGATGAACCAGTGAACATCCTGACAATTTAGGCCCTGCACACTTCAACACACGTCTCTGAATAAAAGACGTCACCCTATGTAACCCCAGTGTCATGATCAGAGCTGAGCTGCTGGACAGTTCCCTAATGGCATGCCATGTCCTCTGCATATTCACACTTACCCTGCTGTCTCCCACCTCGCACATCCTCATCTAACTCAGGTTCTTTCGTGGTCCTCCCTGAGGACATAAGCTACGTGGCAGGGGCCTCTGGCCCCTGGAAACGTGTTGCCTTTCTCAGTAGCCTATGCACGTGGTTGTGTCCTGTCCCTTTAAGACAGTCCCCATTTTGTTCCCGTCATTACTGGCTCGTTGAAGAGACTGACCAGGCCAGTTGTCTTCAGAACACCCATCTTCTGGATGTGTGTGACCACTTCCTGTTGTAGAGTTTCATTGGTTTCGGAGCTGCTGCTTTTCGGTTGGTGGTTTCAGGGAAAGACTGGCAGCCTGGCATTTTGCTGCTTCTACAATTCAGCATTGTTTTCAGCCATATCTCTTCCTTTCCAGTCATTCTTCCCAGATCTAAATCCTCCTTTCTTTACTGCCCGTAGCCGAAACGCACCTTCTCAGCTGTGATACCCGTACTGTACCATTTGGTAGCCAATCATATGCTGCCTCCACTTGCTGTTCACGTATTCATATTTTGTCAGTTCTTGGACGAGGAAAACCTTTTGCTTTTCGCAAATAACCCATTAGAGAACCTAGCCGGGGGTTGGCAGCATTCAGGTACTGCAATACTTGTTGCAAGTCAGTAACAAAGTGGAAAGCATGATCATGGACGTGATTCATAGGGATTATTGGCCTGTGAGCATCTTTCTTTCGTGGTCAAAGTGGAAAGCTGAGCATCTTTCTTTCGTGGTCCTACCTGAGGGCATAAGCTACATGGCAGGGGCCCCTGGTCCCTGGAAATGTTGTTGCCTTTCTCAATAGGCTGTGCATACAGGCTTACAGTCTTCTACTTTATCTTGTTTGCTATGTTTAGATTTTATTTCCAAGAAAAACTTGTTTTAAAGGGCTTAGGTGACTGAACTGGAATTGTTTCCAGAAATACAGAAATTGTTTTCCTGCTGTCATATAACGTGAAATAAGACACATAAGCCACCTAAACTGATTAATGTTCATGTGCTGCTCAGAGATTCCCATCCAAGCATGCTTTAGGAGTAAATGCTGTTTGTTTTATTACTATGTTTTATTGTAAATTTTAATTATGGTAAACATAATTAATTTAAAATAAATTTCACTTACTGAAACTCCATTCATTTGGACTTTGTGACAGTTTCACAAAGCTTGGCTGTAATTTGATCTTTGCACTATTTGTGAAGAAAGAATTTGTTCAGCAAATGTATGCCATAAATAGAGGTCCGAGGAAAATGTTTCATCCATTAAAGGGAACAGTTTCTTTCTGTTTTAAAGCATTTTCAAGTGCCGTTTACAGTCTAACTTACCCCACAGTACTTCTCCCATTTTCACCAGTTTATCCCAGCTTGTTGTTGGAGCTCAGGAACAAGCTCTGAGTGAAGGTCAGGGACTCTGAGTTGTCTGGGGTCTCCCGGCGGCCCCGCGTGCTCAGGTCAGGACTGACTCCCTACGAGAGCTCCAGCTCGGATAACCGCTCCCTTGCGCGGCTGGACGTGCAAGGGTGGCCCTGGCTCTGCAGTGACCTAGCGGAAGGTCGCCTTGCCCCCTCAGTCTGAAAACGTGGACCGGATGCACTTCGGTGGAAGGACAGCTACGGGGAGGCTTGAGTGCAGCGATATTTGTAACCTAAGTAAAAAGAAGCCGTGCAGGGTATCTGGTTAGGAAAGGGTTTCTTTGCTGATCGCTGTGTAACATGAAGCTCAGAGCTGAACGCAGGCCAATGGTAACACTCACTTTTCCTTTTTCTTGTTAAAAAGAATTGTGTCAGCGTTTGACACCGAACTTACTCCTTTGTTTTCACTTTTACATCCAGACATTCATGATGTGTCCAAATGCATGTTTTTAAAAAACAGTGCTGGTGGTGTTAATTTTGATTTTAAAATATAGTAAGGAGGCCAAATGAGGGCCAGATGCCATATTCTATGTTTAAGTTCTAATCACTTGTTAACTGTTAAGCTCATGTAGATGCTGACATTTAAGACTGAGAAATGAAATCATTACCTTTATAAAACAGGCAATGTCTACTTTGATCTGCAGTCGAGAGGCGACAAGTACGGCAAGCTCGTCGGTGTGGCTCCCGGTCCTGTTGCAGAGCCAGGTGGGTGGACCCCGGCGTCCTGTCCGGGTTCCGGGGGCTGAAGCACAGACTCAGCTGCTCTTTCCCAGCGCTCGGTTGAGACCCCCACGCTCTTAGAGGTGGTGCCAGACAGCTGATCACAGCTGTGTTTTATTTTATTTTTTAAAATATATTTTTATTGATTTCAGAGAGGAAGTGAAAGGAAGGGAGAGATAGAAATGCCAATGATGAGGGAGAATCATTAATCGGCTGCCTCCTGCATGCCCCACACTGGGGATTGAGCCTGCAAACCGGGCATGTGCCCTGACCAGGAATCAAACCATGACCTCCTTGTTCATAGGTCAGTGCTTAACCATGGAGCCATGCTGGCCAGGCATCACAGCTGTGTTTTAAATTTGATTCTGGTCCTAGCTGGTTTGGCTCAGTGGATAGAGCGTCGGCCTGCGGACTGAAAGGTCCTGGGTTTGATTCCGGTCAAGGGCACATGCTCGGGTTGCGGGCTTGATCCCCAATGGGGATCATGCAGGAGGCAGCCAATCAATGATTCTCTCATCATTGATGTTTCTATCTCTCCCTCTCCCTTCCTCTCTGAAATCAATAAAAATATATATTAAAAATAAATAAATTTGATTGTTTTTTTAAATAGAGAGAACTTGTAGAGTATAAAGGTCACACAGCATATGACACGTCCCTCCCCTCTCCTGCCTGGGCCTCCAGCTCTCCCTGGAGAAGGCACCTTCGCCCATTCTCACGGCTCCTTTCAGAGATGGTCCCCGCATGTGAAACATGCATGTAAGCTTTCTTCATGTCTTTTCATGGCTCGATAGCTCATTTCTTTTTAGCAGTGAATAATATCCCATTATCTGATGTACCACAGTTTACTTATCCACTCACCTACTCAAGGAGATCTTGGTTGCTTCCAAGTTTTGGAATGTAAAGAGAGCCCAAAACTGGCTCATTATACAGACTTCAACAATAACCTAACCTTTCTCTTTTGAGTCTCTTTACTCTTTGAATGTGATTGGCATTCTGGTAATTCTCCTTTTCGCGCTATATGATTTTTTGGGGGGAAAGTTACTCAAACTCAGTTACTGATAAGCACAGCTGTCTTAGGAGACAGACTGCAGAAGAATGAGCATACTCAGTTCAGGACACCCCTCAGAAAACCGTGCGTGTTTGAAATCTCAACTCATTCATTATTCAACTTACTGAAACTGGCTCATGCTGACAGACCTCATGCTACTGGCATATTTTAGGTAAAAGTGTTCAGTATTCTTTCCAGCCGTCAGGTGGGGGAAGAGAAAAACATGAATGAGGAATGTGAGGTTACTTATAAGAAGGAACAGACTCTTTGGAAAGTGCTTTAGTTTTGTGACTTTGGGTTGGTTTGTTCATTCTAAGTTCTCAACCCTGTTGATCAAACACTTTTAATTGGCAGGTGATTCGGACAAGCGGCATGCCAGCGACTTTGCCCTGTGGAAGGCAGCCAAACCCCAGGAGGTATTCTGGCCCTCTCCTTGGGGAAACGGAAGACCTGGCTGGCATATTGAATGTTCTACCATCTCAAGGTAAGGTTTTCCTGGATTCTTCCCGTCCGTGTTGATGTGAAAGCTCTAGCAACGCCTGAGTTGGCCAGTAGAGGGCGCAGACAGGGCAAGTTTGGTCTCCGCACCAATGCAGACAAAGCAAGGAGTTTGGAGGAAAGCTTAACACTCAGAGGGGACTGGCTGTAAGAAGGGAAACCAAACAAAAACATGGCTTATTCATCTTTGCATCAGCACTTCTCTTTTCAGTAGGAAAGCCTGCTTTACGGTCAGGTTTTGATTTCCCATCTCCTACAAGCCCGCTGCAGGTTGCCTTCCTCTCTCTGCAGAGGTGGGTTTAGGGAACACCAACCCTCCACTGAGGGCCTGGATGAGGTCAGAGCCCCTCAGGGACGAGGGACTGAACCACCTTTCTCCTGCCGCTCTCTCAGTCCACAGACCCTCACCCCAAAGCTGGATCAGAACCCATCGAGCATTATCCCCAGGTTCTGTGTGTCTGTCTCCTCAGTCTTCCATCAGCCCTTTCTCAGGACGCTTCTGTCCTGGGATCTCCATAAACACAGGTCCTCCGTGACCCTGACCCCTCCAGCAGCCTCCTTTTAGTTTGCTTCTGTCACCATCTACATGTGACCTGCTCCTGCCTGGCTTTCATCCCAGCGTCCCACTGACTCTGGTCTCCTAAGGGCACCAGTGACCAGGTCACTGACAGGCAGCCTGATGCCCTCCTTTTCCCTTGGCCCCTGGGAGACAACTCTCTGCTGGTTTTGGCATCTCTGCTGGGGCCTCCTCCTTCTGCTTGATCACCTCTGCAGACTGTTCCTTCGGCACTCCCCACGCTTCTGCCCATGGCCACATGCCCCTTTGAGAGAGAGAGAGAGAGAGAGAGAGAGACAGAGAGAGAGAGAGAGAGAGAGAGAGAGAGAAGGTGGCATAACACATGTGCTGTCCTCTTCTGTCTCTTTCACTTAGCAGCCTGTCCTGGGAATTCCTTTGTGTCAGTTTGCTGAGCTCTTCGTCATTTGTCTCTCGGCTCCTAAGTGCTGCTGTATTGTGTGGCTTACCTATTGTTCATTTAGCTAGTACCCTATGGAGGAGCATTTAGGTATTCCAATACTTTGCTCTTACAAATACCTGCAGTGAATAACCTGGTGTGTGTATTTCCTGTTTGTGGAGTTGAGGGGTTTTCAAGTATCATATTAACTCAGATTTTATTATATTTGATGTGTTTCAGTTCATTGCAGATATTCATTATAATAATTTTTTTGCAGTGGAGTTACACGTTTTTAAAATTAGAAATATAAAGTATGCTTAAGGTGAGCATTTCAAACTACTAGCTACACCAAAAATTTTCAGATCAGCCAACCCAGTCACCCTCAATTGGTTGTTGTATGCGGTGCTGTTTTCTGGCTGGGTATAACAGTGGTAACTATCTTACCTATATATATAAAAGCCTAAGTGACCATCCAACCTTTGACTGCCCAACCGGAAGCTATGATGCGCACTGACCACCGGGGGCACTCAACGCAGGAGCTGCCGAGCTGCGGTGACTTGGCAGCTGCGGTTCTCGGGTGACACACCCAGAACCAGAGAGGAGGGAGCTCGATTCTGGGGTGTGTCACCCGAGAACCACCCTCTTGCAATCCAGAACCCCTTAGAGCTGGTTTCGGCCCGATCCCCACAGGCCAGGCTGAGGGACCCCCCCACCAGTGCACGAATCTGTGCACTGGGCCTCTAGTCTCTTGTAATAGAGCGCTGTGCCCCATGCACTGACCCCACGCTAGTTTCCTTTTGAGCCCCACGTAGGTTTACCCCATCCTACCAAATGGAAAAGCCTTGTCCTCCAAGACCCGTCCATCCACATTTTGTTCATTCTAGTTAAGACTCAGCAGGCAGTCTCCCTTTCCACCACATCCCCCCCGCAGCCCTGACCTTTGATGACTTCTACATGGCCCATCTAGAAACACATCCAGCCATTCCTGAGACATCAAACTCTCATGTTACTATGAAGCATGGGCCCAACTTTTCATCAAAAACAGTTATGTCCATCTCACAGTCATACATTAATACAGAACCACTTATGTATTTATAAATACTTGTTGGTTTAATAGCAATGTGGAGTATACATTGGATTGTAAAAAAGTATTTAGTTTTAGATTCAATTAGTTACTGTAAAGCAGGTAGAAAGCATTTAATAAATTTCAAATCTAATGTTACCATTAAATATTTCATTTTGTTGAAATCTAAATAATGAAAATAGACATTGTATTCCTTTTTAGCTGTCTCTTATTTTAAAATAGGTCTAATGTACAGACATTAATAGAGACTAATATAATGAATACCTCGGATCCACAGTTTAGCTTTATTAAATCTTAACATTGTCATATTTGCTTCAGATCTTAAACTGAATCACTCATTACAAATGAGGCCCCTTATGCTCTCCTACCCAATCTGCGCCCTCCCACCTCACACTCTTCTTCAGAGCATTTGAATTTCAAGGACTGTAATAGATTCTCTAAAACCCATCACTGAGAATGTACAGTAACAGACAACCCACTCAGCCAGTGCCACTTAGCTAAATGTGACGGTACATTGCGGGATCTTCTGGAGCCCAGGAGCCAGTAGGAGAAGGTCTACCTTCAGCCGGAATGGACTCAGCGAGGCTGCGGCATCTTTGAAAATGTCTGTTTTGAACCATTTTTAGGAAAATTCACGATGGTCTGCATTCCAGCCTCGCTGTGTGCTGGGGGAGGTGGCCTCACCACCCCGGCCCCCACAAACCAGCATTTCCACTGTGCTGACTGTTGAGTTTTTCATCAATGTTTGCATTTTCAGTGTCTTCTGAAGTAGCGCTAGTGAACCTGGATTGTTCACATTGGTACAGGTTTCGCAGGGGGTCTGGTGAGAGTTGCCGGGCCAGCTGCTGCACTGTCCCATCAGCCGCACAGCTTTGGTGTGCAGTTTGTAGGACATGAGGTTTTCCAGGATGTATGGCACAGCGTTAGAGCGGAAGTGCCAATAGCTGACGTGCACTGATTTGAAATCTATAACCTTGTTTGTCAAATATAACCGCTAAGTAGTTAAATTTTCAAAAACCAAATTAAAAATTCTCTTGATTTTATAGTTCTATCTCTTGTTAAAGGTGGAAAACCACTAAATTTTACCTATTGAAAGTAAGAAAAGGTAATTTTGTAAGTTTTTTTAAAAAAAACCATACCTCTGGAGCAAAGAGAATTAAATTTTTTCACTAGGAGGAAAAGCTATTAGGGATTTTTATGAATTGTCTTTAGTACGAGGAAAAGCTATGGAGGAGGGATTTTATGAAGTAAAAACAAAATTATGGTTTCCATTTGCATCAGTTAAGCTTTCACACATACTGATATAAAATTGAGATCCATTTATTTTATTCCTTGCACTGCACCAAGGCTGGAAGGGTTAGATATAAGATGAGGGTTGGAGAAATATGCTGTTTGATTGAATTAATTCACGGCTCTGTGCTGTGTCTTGCAGTTTGGTGTTTGGAAGTCAACTGGACATCCACTCGGGTGGCATAGACCTAGCTTTCCCGCATCATGAGAATGAAATCGCACAGTGTGAGGTCTTCCATCAGTGCCAGCAATGGGGAAATTACTTCCTGCATTCTGGTAAGTAATGACCTCAGAGGAATTGTTCTATTTCAGTCCTGCCAGTTTTATCTTTTATTGACAAAACAGTTACATTTGGAAATACATAGATCAGCGAAAATAGGTCAAGAAGTGGAGCTGTCTCCTAAGTTGTTTTTGAATTTCAGTCAGTTGGACATGAACTTCCTTGGATGGGAATGAGTCTGCCTTTTGGGAACTGAAATATGAATGACAAGAATATGGAAAAGGCTTTACAGTGCTGTTCTATATAAGTTTCCTTCTAATAAAACTATTGAGGATTTTAAATAGTATGATGTAATCATTATTAGGAATATGCCAACTTTGAGCTATAATATTGTCGCCATTCTCTAATACCACTGCCTCTCATTTCACTGTTCAAAAACCACGGTTGGCTAACACCAGCCATCTGTTTTCAGGAGGAGAGTGTGAAATAAGCCGCATCCTTGAGCATAGCAGCATTGGCATTCCCTTTGATGCCTGGGAAGATTCCTATGTCCAAATCTTGACAAAGGTCGTGGGGCAATGTCAAATTGGTCCATTGCTTTTTGGAATGGACAGCTTACGTATTTGGTGTTTGGTAGTGATAGGGTTGGGAGCTGCAGATAATCAGCATCTGAAACACAGTGCATTAACGAATACCATTTCTTTAAGTCCTTGAATGAAGGAAACTAGGTTATTCCAGTGAAATACAGAGATGCTCATTTTATAATGTGCCGATGGCTGCTTAAAGTCTGGAGTAAGGGTTCACTTGGGTTTTCTTCATGGCAGTGAACTGATGAGACTGCACGCACCGCAGTGTCTCCTTTGTTCTCGAGCTGTCCTGGGTGGCACTCCCACCCTCGCTGTGTCCCCCAGGTGCCCGGGAACCAGCATCTCTATTCTCTGCAGTGACCAGCTCGTTTCTGACCGCCTCACAGTACGAAAAGAAACAGAACTGGCTGAACAGCTGTGGACGGCATACGAGCTGTTTGCCCTCTAGGATCCCACTTCATGTCCCTGCATAGAACTCAACAGGAGCCAAATCTACTTTATTTCTGCCAGCGATGGGCCTTGCTGGGCAGATTCCCTAAATAGAAGGGCAAAGGCCTGATGATCCTGGTTCCATGTTTCCCTTCCACTGTGTTAACTGTCCGAGAGTCAGAGCGTGATCCCTCCACAGACACTGCGCCAGTTAATGCTCATGAGGAGTTACGGTTTGCTCTGGACACTATGAAGTGCAGGTGCCCTTCGGTGAACGTGGGTCTAGGGGTCAGCACTAACACTTCTTCAGCCTCTCAGCTAATGACAGGTGTTTGGTGGCCATAAAACAGCAGGTCCTGTTTACCTTTACTAGTAAGTGTGGGAATGGGAAAGAAAGGGGTTTTGTTGCTGTGTTTTGTTGTGACTTTCACCATCTGTTAAGGCACTCTACGCTTCTCCATCACATTCACACCTGTCCTGGAGAAGGAAACAGCAGTGCCTCCTGACACACGGGAGAATGAATCTGGCCTTTCACATACTGGGGGTGAAGTAATACCAAGGTCTTAATAAGTCTGTGAAATTCAGTTGCAACGGAAAATCTAATTGCTCTCAGAGACCTGCAAGCCCCACGTTGCAATTCTGAACATCTGGAAGCAGCTTTTATTGCCGGGTGGGTGCCTGGTTTGCAAAACCAGAGATTTGTCATTTCTTCAGGTGTTGAGTTGGTTAAAGCATCCTTTCTAAGTTACAGGAAAGGGGTAGAGTGTGCACTGTTTCTGAGTGTCACAGTCCATCTGTTCCTGTCTGAGTTCTGACTCAGCAGAGTTCCTGTCCATTGCCCAGTGTGGCCTGGGTGTATCCGATGCCCTTGAACCGGCACAGTTGTGGGCTCCATCTTCCTGGAGGGTTGACAGTGGGTGATTTGGGAAAATCTTCCATCCACATGTACACAGGTGTTTGCATATTGGAGAGAGCAGCACTTACGGTTTCCTTCCAGTTCCCCAGGCAGCTGCAGTTGGAGCCCTGTGCTCAGGCACCTGCTGGAGAAGCGCCCACTTTACCTCCTTCCCCTGTACAGATGGGACGGAGCAGTCCCTCTCTTCCCCCCAATGCAGAGTGAATGACTGTGTTTTTTCTCCTCAGGACACTTGCATGTAAAAGGCAAAGAAGAAAAAATGTCCAAATCACTGAAAAACTACATCACTATTAAGGTAATGTGCTCTCCTGCGTTGCTGCCAGCTTGCTGAATCTTGTTAAAGGCTGATGCGTATATGAGACCCCACATCTCTGATTCCCAGTTTCTCTGGCTGCCCTTTCCCCATGGCCCTCAGGGACTTCTCCTATTTCCAGGTCTAAATACTCTTTTTTTTCTCTCTTATTATTGATTTCAGAGAGGGAGGGAGAGAGGGAGGGAGGGAGGGAGGGGGAGAGAGAGAGAGAAACATCAATGATGAGAATCACTGACCAGCTGCCTCCTGCATGCCCCCAACTGGGGACCGAGCCCACAACCTGGGCATGTGCCCCGATCAGAATCAAACCTGGGACCCTTCGTTCCACAGTCTGATGCTCTATCCACTGAGCCAAACCAGCTGGGGCTAAATACTCTTTTTTTTTTTTTTCGTCTGGAAAGTGCACAGTGGTATTTCTCTATTTTCTGTTTTCTCTCCTTGTGTGGCTCTCCACTGTTTTCTGTTGGCTTTTTATTTTTTATTTTTTAAAATATTTTTATTGATTTCAGAGAGAGGAAAGGAGAGGGAGAGAGAGATAGAAACATCCATGGTAAGAGAGAATCATGGATTGGCCGCCTCCTGCACGTCCCACACTGGGGATCAAGCCTGCAACCCAGGCATGTGACCTGATTGGGAATCGAACCTGGGACCCTTCAGTCCGCAGGCCAACGCTCTATCCACTGAACCGTACCAGCCAGGGCTTCTGTTGGCTTAAAAAAAAATACTACTTTTATCGATTTTGAGGGAGAAAGGGAGAGGGAGAGAGAGAAACATCAATCAGCAGCCTCTTGCATGCCCTGGGGGGGGGCGGGGGATTGAGCCTGCAACCTGGGCATGTGCCCTAACCAGGAATCATACCAGCAACCCTTCAGTGCACGGGTCGATGCCCAACCGAGCCACACGGGCCAGGGCTCTGTCGGCTTTAGTGGTGGACTTCTTCCTCCCCTTTTTGTTTTTAATGATTTTATCTTTTGAATTACATTTGCTGGATTCCTTCCCCCGTTTTTTGTCCCTTTGTTCCATCACCAGCCCCCTCCTATCTAGTGTAGCTTTGGGTTTGTTTGTTTTACTGATTTTTGCTTTTTGCTGGCTTCTTACCCTACCTGGAGAATTTCATTGTGTTGTGGAAATGCAGACTGAAATGTGAATTTCTGTATGAATGGCAATCGAGGGCACTAATAGAATACTTAAACACAGCTTGATCCTCCCTTGCCTTGGGGTCCATAATGCCCAATTTAGTTGACAAGGATAGTAAACAGCCCTTCATCACCTAAATACCAACCACCGAAGCTATTCACACCAGATTTATAATAAACCAAAAGGGGTGTGCTCCTCAAAAATAGTCTTTATGTACTGTACATAAATAGAAATGTCTAATATTATCGTATACAAATTTTCAAACATACAGAAAAGTTAAAATACTTATATATTCACCATGTAGATTCAATAATTTAGTATTTGTGTGTTATTGTTGCTGAACCATTAGAAAATACATTTAGACATGAGAATTCTTTTCTGCATGCAACTCTTAAAAATAAGGATGCTTTCCTATGTAACCTAAACACCTAAAAAGTTAGCAATAATTTATTATTTTTTTTTAATTTCACTATTTATCCCCCCATATACTCTTCTACCTCTACCCATCCCCCTCCTTCCTAAGCAATAAGTTCTTAACAATACCAATTGTCTAACCCATATTTTGATTTCTGCATTTATCCCAATATGTCTTTTACAGCTTTATTTTTTAACCAGGATCCAATCAAGGTTTATGCGCTGCATTTGAATGTTATCTTAGGCTTTAAAAAAATTGTTTTTAATAGTGGTAAAAAACACATTACGTAAAATCTACATGTTAACCGTGTTTATGTGTACAGTTCAGTAGTGTATTATGCTCACATGGTTGTGTGACAGATCTCCAGAACCTTTCCATCTTGCGAAACTGAAATTCTGCACCCATTGAACATATATCCCTTCCCCACTCCCCTGCAACCACCATTCTACTTTATGTTTCCATGACTGACCACTCTGGGCTCTCATATAAGTGGGATCATACAATGTTTGTCATTGGTGACTGGCTGATTTCACTTAGCATAATGTCCTCAAGGTTCATCTGTGTTGTAGAGTGTCACAGGACTTGCTTATTTTTTAAGGCTGAATAATAGTCCACTGTTCCGTTTAGGCTTCTACTCTACAACTGCCTCTCTACTTTTATTTTCCCTGTGGCATTGACTTTTTGAAGAAACCAGGCCATTTTTTCTGAATACCCCACATCTGGAATTTGCCTATTGCTTTGTGGTGTCATTTAACTTGTTCTTCTAGCTCCCCTATTTCCTGTAACTGGAAGTGAGGTCTCAAGGCTGATTCCATTTAGGTCAAACCTGCTTGGCGGAAACACTCCATCCGTGGTGCCGTGGACTTCCTCTGGGGCCACAGCGTCAGACTGTGGGACCCAGTGATGATAAATCTGACTGCTTGGCTAGGGGATAGCCAGTGTCTGCTGTAGAGATGTTTGTCTCCTTTTTGTGAATATCGAGAACCTGCGAGATAATGTCATGTCAGCATCTTGTTCCCAACAGCCTTCTGCCCTGCAGGTTTGGCATCCTTGGTGCGCTCCACCTTGGTGCTCCTTTCATTGATTCTTGCAGTTGTGCTGGTCTCATTCTGTTGCTTCTTTACATTCACTAGTTAGCATTCCCCTTTAAAGAAGGGGTTTTTGTCTGTCTGTCTCTCTCTTTTCAGTGTCACTATACACCTAAGGATTTCCTTTGTGTATTGTCAACTCAGTCTTTATCCTTTTTGTGCTGAAATGATCCCACATTTGGACAGGAGGGCTCCTGTGTCCTGGGCTCGTGTCTCGCCTGCGTCCTTCCTTTCGGCCTTGTTCACCTTTGCATCCTCCCAGACCAGCCTTTTCTCCGAGGTGCCTCCACTGCCTTTGTGGGGAAACGGAACTTTGAACCGAGATCTGAGCACCTAGTGTGTTTATTGTTGCTGGAGTGCAAATATCTCTTTGAGATACTGCTTTTGTTTCCTTTGGATTTATATCCAGAAGCGGAATTGCTGGATTATATGGTAGATCAAGTTTTAGTAGTTTTTTGAGAATTATATTTTTGTGTATGCAACTATTGAACTAAATCTTTATTTGTTTATTCTTGACAGTGTTTCTAGCAGGTGAGACCTTGTCTAACCTATTCGTGTGCCCAGGTGGCTCCTTAGTGCAAGTCCCTGCACCAAAGCCAGCACGTAGCCAGAGCAGATGCTCCAGCCTGGGCTACTTTTTAAACAGCGTCCTTAAACCCCCAAGAACCTCCCACCCCCACAAGCCTGGCACGGGGTCCAGGCCAGGTGTTTCCTCCCAGCTGTTGCATGCTGGTTGCTGTTGCCGAGGGGAGGCCAGAGATACAATTGGACAGAAAGGGGTGGACAGGTGTACAGAAGGGCTGAGAACGTCTCCTTTAACTCTCTGAGGATTCAAACACTCCTCTCGGAGCCCGTTTCCCTCGGTGCCCAGCATTGGTCAGTCAGTGGCACGGTCACTGTGGGTGGCCTAGCTGGGCAAGCGGAGCCCTAGTGTCTTTCCTGGGGCCACTCTGGAACCCGTCGTGAGGTTGGGCCCTTTCCCCCCTTCCTCCCTCACCCCGTGTCTTATCCCTTTAAAATCATGCAGAACTTTCCACTCACCACCAGAGAGAGAGGTTTTGTTGAACATGGTGGTGTCTTAATGATTTCTGATACGTTTCCCCATGTAATCCTTCCTGATATGGAAATTTTCACTTCTTTATGCAGACATTGTAGAAATAACCGAGAGGATGATACCAATTGGGCTTTTATTTTATGTTTACTTTTTTTCTTTTAATCCTCACCCAACGATATTTTTCCATTGACTTTTAGAGAGAGTGGAAGAGAGAGGGAAAGACAGAAAGAAAAACATCAATGTGAAAGAAACATTGATTGGTTGCCTCCTGCATGCATCCTGACCAGGCCCTGGGCCGGTGAGGAGCCTGCAACCGAGGGTATGTGCCCTTGACCAGAATCGAAACCGGGGCCCTTTGGTCCGCAGGCCTATGCTCTAGCCATTGAGCCAAACCGGCTAGAGCTATTTTACGTTTACTTTTATCAGAGGTAGGATGGTTTATTCTTTGAGAAACATACCTGCTTCAAGTTCAGTGTCACCGGAGAGAATGACCTGGGCCCTCGCCCCTCAGTCCAGCCTGGGCATGGATGTTGCTTGTTCTGACGTTACCACAGCCAAGCTTTCTGGACTGTCTCCTTCCTGCTCCTGGGAGCCTGTCCCTCTCACTCAGCCAGGAGCTGTGCGTGCTTCCTCCTCCCTGTGTCCCTTCCTGAGCACAGTCTGTCTGCGGTTCCCAGGCTGCTGGGTGGCCTCTGGTGGTGGCCGTCCTCTCATGCCATGGTGAAGGCTCCCAGGCCATCAGCAGAGCAGACTCCCGACGCGCCTGGTGGAGCGGGACTCCAGGCAGACAGGCCTCCCCTCTCGGCCTTTCCCACAGACGCTGGGACTGAATGTGGACAGTCAGCAGGGAAATTACAGGGAAAGTGCTAAGAGTTTGAACAAAACAAAGCTTTTCATAAACATTCCTGATTGCTTGACGTGTGAGAGCTCACCTCTGAGAGATACAAATGGAAAGACAAGCACTGGACATCTCTCCCGCATCTCTCTCTCTCAGGACTTTCTGAAGACATTTTCCCCCGACGTCTTCCGGCTCTTCTGCCTGCGGAGCAGCTACCGGTCAGGTGAGCTGACAGGGCCTTTGGGGGATGGTCACAGTGTCTGCTGTGTGCAGCTGGGGAGAGACTACTCTGACAGTGTGGGGAATACCAAAGTACTGGCTGAGTAATAAGCACCGTCTTGTTGGTGTGGTTGTTCATCCCCTAAGGCATGGGCTCAGAAAGTAAGCCCGAGGATGCACTATTGCATAATACCAGCACTCGCCAGAAGGTTCCAGAAGCTTATGGAGGCCATGGGTTTCCAGTCAGCCCTCCCCGTCCACTCCCCTCCTCTCCCCCTCTGTGGGGTCTGGGCCCCGGAGTGCCCTCCACTTCCTGCTCCATGAACACAATTGGACTGGCCGCCCTCACACAGGCCGGAACCAGGAGCCCTCAAATGCGTCCCACTCAGGACAGGCAGGCCCTGCTGTGCTGCGCTGTGTGCTGCTCGGGGTGGGGGTGGGGTGAGGGGGATGGGGATGTCTAGCACTATGTCCCTAGGGCCAGAGGTCTCCTCTTCTCCCTGGAAGGCCAGGTCTGGGGATACCCGACACTGCCCTGCCTGACTTGACCACTGTGACAGTAAGATGCCGCCGGTGTCTATGGCCCTGCAGGAGCAGGTGCCCTTTGCGGGTAGGTGGGCTCCTCAGCCTGTGCACTGGGCACAACCATGTGACCAGGGAAGCAGAGATTGGGGTGATGCAGCCACAATCCAAGAACGTCTGGGCCACCAGAAGCTGCAAGAGACAAGGCAGGGCCTTCCCCTAGAACCTTTGGAAAGGGCAGCCCGGCTGACCCCTTGACTTCAGTTGTTTTTACCCCCAGAGCTGCAAGAGAAGAAATTGCAGTTTTTGCCCCCAGATCTGTGGTACTGAGGCACGATACCCAGGACACTGGCCTCCACCACTTGGGGAGCAGCTGACACGTCTATCCCTCTGGCTGTGCCTTTTGTGGGGGCCTGGACGTGGTGTCCAGTGGCTCAGGCGGGCTGGCCCAGGTGGGAGTTCTTAAATCTGTCTTCCTGTACTCTACCACGCTGAGTTCGAGGTCTAATCCTCTCCTTCTCCTGAAATACTGAACCCAAAGCCCTCATCGCACCAGGTGGTCTTTGATCTGCGTCAGGTACCCAAGTGGGTGTCTCTCAGTTTCCAGAGTCAGCTGTCAGTCCATCTGTTGTCAGCGAGAATGGGCCCCCTCAGCCAAAATGTATAGGGAGAGGTTTTTCATGTTTCTTCTGAGGTGATGAGATACCCAAGTGAGGACAGACTGGTCTGCGTGGTTCAGGCCTCGGAGGTGCAGGATAGGGGGCAGCTGTCCCCGCTCCACTGCTGGGTTTCTGGAGTAGCGTGAGGATGGCCTGGCTAAGAAACTGAATCTGCAGGTGTGGGCACGCTCGACGGGCACCCCAGCTAATCCTTCCCTCTTCCTCAGCCGTGGACTACAGCGACAGCACCATGCAGGAAGCTCAGCACCTTCTCCGGGCCCTGGCCGCGTTCGCCCAGGATGCTCGGGCCTACATGAAGGGGCAGCTGGTGTGCGGCCCCATCAGGGAAGACGTGCTGTGGGAGAGGTGGGTGCTCTCCCAGATCTGCCCAGAGGGCCCTGGGCGCCAGCGCGGGCCTGCCTGGAGGGAAGCGAGGCTTTTGGAGACTAAGGCTACTTGAGTGCTGGTGGGAAAGTCCCTCAGGCTCTGTGGCCTCGGGCAGGTCTGTGGTCCGCCTGTGAGTGGCTGTGAAGGTTGTAAATAACGTGCCAGGATGGGTCTTCCCGCTGGTGTTTATTAGTGTGAACTGAACAGAGGCCCTTGTCACTACGAGGGTGAGGGCAGGTGCCAGGCAGGAGGGAAGAGGGGGCTCCAGGGCTTTGCCTCCACAATTCAACGTTCTGGCCCAGACGTGGACGCTGCTTCTCACAATGGCCAGAACTGGTCCCAGGGCCTGCCCAGCTGCAGGGTGGCCCAGACCCAGTCCTGCCCGAGGCCCGGAGATGGAGGGGATCCAAAGCAAGTGGGGCCTTTACCTCCAGTAAAGAGGGGCAGCAGCGAGTTAGACGAGGTAAAGCCTTGTGACAGGTAGTGGGTGTGAAGGTGAGACCACACAGATGAGAGAGGAAGGCCCAGGGGGCCCGAGTGTCCTTGTGGGCTGGGGAGGAAAGGGGGAGGATGACCACCAGCCCCGCTGGAGGGGCTGATGGGAGGAAAGAAGAGAGGGCTGCTGGGGTGGGAATGGGACACAAGCCTGCTCCGCCTGAGGGAGGCCACCTGCTGTCGGCTGTGAGTGACACGTGTTTCTCATCTAAGGCTCAACCACACACAGGCTGCTGTGAAGGCCGCCTTGGCAGACGACTTTGACACGCCTGGGGCAGTGGATGCCGTCTTGGATCTCATTCACCAGGCGAACAGACAGCTGAAGGTGGTCACTAAGGTAACTCCAGTGGCCACAAAGTAGGGTTTCTGTTCGGTTGGTTTTCCCTCATGAAGAAAAGATGCCACTTCCCAACTCTCTCAGGTAACCATCTCCCACAGCCGGTGGCTCCCAGGCCTCTCCTGACCTTCCCTAAGTTCCCGAAGCTGCTTCAGCCGAATGGGGCCTGCCCTGCTGGCCCTGCAGGAGGTACCGCCTCCCAGAGTCCCAAGCAGTAGGTGCGGCTTATGTGGGCACGGAGGTCCCAGCACACTGAGAGCCGGCATTGCGTGCTGGCTAATGCAGGAGCACGCAGCCCTCGTGTTTGCTCGGAGAAGCTGAGTTCACTGCTAAAATGTGAAATGAGGGAGGAAGCCCTATGTTGGGACCTTGACTCACTCTGTGCCCACCTGACCTGTCCCTTTTCTGGGCCTTGGTGTCACTCCAGAGGCTTTACCCTCATGACCCAGTGACCTCCCGAAGACCCCATCTCCTGAAACCACCATCATGCTGGGGGCTAGGTTTCCATGTATGCATTTGGGGGGGGGACACAACATCCCCATATTCTAGGTGGGCGGGCTCAGGTGCAGGATTAAGTTATTGACCTGGGTCGTCTGGCTTGCAGAGTGGCAGCTCCAGCAGTTAGTCCAGGGCCCCCTGCCAGCTTGTCCGCATGGAGGCACAGCAGGCAGAAGTGACCTGTTACACCGTTGCCTTTAAAGAGCCTTCTCTGGTTCATCTGTCACAGGAGCCCGGCGGTCCCAGGAGCCCTGCTGTGTTCGGCTCCATCATCTCCTACGTTGAGCAATTTTTTGAGACGGTTGGAATTTCTCTGGCAGAACGACAGGTACACCCTTCTCTTTTCAGTCCTCAGTGGTGGGATATTTACAAGCCAATCCAATAAGAACCATTTTTTCCCTTTTAATGGATACCTGTAAATGCCAATTTATGTGCTCAAAAGCACATTACATTCCTTAAAAAGTCAACAGTCAGAGCTAATATCTTAACTGAAACTGCAACTATTCTGAGAAGCAACAGCACATTTTAGCTAGAGTGGTGTGTCATCAGTTCTGTACACACTCGTATTTATTTATTTTTATTATGTTTTTTGTTTAGAAAGAATCTCAAAATGTACAGACAGCTGTACCGTAAGAACATTTTTCCTGAGCCACCTGAGTAAGCTGCCAGCCAAGCTGCCCTCAGTGTGTCTCCTACAAACAGGAGCTGTCCAGCCCCAGCCCCTTGGGCTCCCCATTCTCCCCATTCTCCCCATTCTCCCTTTGGGGGCAGAGTTTATTCAGGACTTGGGGTGCTTTCAGCTGTTGGCCTTGTCTGGTACTTTCTCTGCACCAAGCCAGGCATCAGCCATGTCTCCGAGGGGCCTGGTTGCTCTTAGAAAAAGGTGGTCAGAAGGTAGGGCCTAAGTGCCAGGCGTGCTCATTGTGCTTGGGCCTCAGCTGCTCTGGGCCCTTGGTGGGCAGAGAGGGAGATGAGTGTGGGCATACTGTGCGCACGATATCCAAGTTCATTTCTGTATCGCTCTACCTTGACTAAAACCCAGGGGTTACCACCAACACTTCAATTCTGGTTCCCAGCAAAGGGTTCATTCTGCTTTCCTCACTTTCCATACAAAAGTGACAGTGAGAAGCCTGTTTTCCAGTACCCTAAACGTATTTCCTTAGGTATTCTTCTCCCAGTACAGTCAGCCTCCCACCGTGGGACACCCCTCTCACTCACTGGAGCTGACTCCCATCCCTGCCTGGACACCCTTTGCACCCGAGGCTGTCCCCTCAGCAGGCTGCCCTCTGCATGGGCACTCCACAGGGCTCTGCGGCCCTCCACCTCTCCACAGAGCCTATCTTGCTCTGCTTCACATAATGGCTTTAGGACTGTTGAGGATGGGGAAAGTTAAAGGCTAAAAGAGCCATTTTAGACAACACTGCATGTGAACAGGTTGTTAACGGGGAAAGGTCGGATTGCAGGTGGGAGTGACCATCACTGGCACTGGAATCACCCCTCCTCCCAGGTTCCTTTACAGCTCCGCCAGGTTCTGTGGCTGCCGTTGGGCGGGGGCATGGGGCAGCTGCTCACTGCTAGCAGAATCTCACTGGTTATACTACTCTGCCTGGTGCAGTTTGTTTCAGGGGACAGCAGCTCAGCCATGTTGCACAGTGTGGTGGAGGAGTTGGTCCGATTCCGGCTCAAGGTCCGGCAGTTCGCCCTGGCTACGGGAGAGGCTACCAAGGAAGTCCGGCGGCAGCAGCTCCTAGAGAGGCAGCCCCTGCTGGAGGCATGTGACACCCTACGCCAGGACCTTGCCGCCCACGGCATCAGTATTAAGGTGAGCCACTGCCACCGAGGCCCAGTGACAATGGGGATGACCACCCTGAGATGCTGGCATCATGCAAACATGGGGGAGGGTCCAAGCTCAGACATCCCCTGTGCTGATGCTGCTTGTGAGCACAGATACCCATCCTGTGACCAAAAGGAAGGGGATGGGGCCAGAGCCAAGAGGACATGAGGTGGAGGGACCTGGGAGAGGGTCAGAGTCAGAAACTGGAGGGAGACTGCGGCTCCGGGACATGTGTACTCAAGCACCCAGGACCTTTTTCCTCCCCCACCCCCAGGACAGAAGCAGCACATCCACATGGGAACTGCTGGGTCAGAGGTCAGAAGACCACAAACCTGGGAGCTGAGGATGCGTGAAGCGGGAACCACAGGCTCACAATGCGGCTCTGTGCTTGCTTAAGTCCCTATAGAAGCTTTACATTAAAGTTTTCCATTGTGACTATTTAGTCAACATTAAAATAAGTCAAACTGATATCATTCCATTGGTGTGTTAATAACTATGTTTAAAAATGGATTTCTTTATAGTACCAACAAATACAGACTCAAGTGCAGTTTACTTAAATCAGCCAACATTATCATCTGTGATATAACCCAACCAGCTTGTGTCCCCGAGGCAGAGCCCAGGAATGTAAGTCATAAATGGGGGTCCCAGAAGACGCCATAGGAAGGTAGGTGGGACCTGTGAGTGGGGCCAACAGGGCAACAGCTTCCAGGACAGCCCTTATCCCAAGAGGATCTTGTGGGGATTTGGCCATGCTGCCTGCTCCAAAGCAGAAAGAAACAGCCTGTACCTCAAGTGCTGGGCAGTGATGAACCGGGGGATGGTCACTCTGGAGGAGTGGGACAGCAGGGGTGCAAACAGGACATAGAGGTGTGACAGAGGCGGCCAACGCCACGCCAGGAATTCAAGCACATGGCAGACTACCTGGGACTGAGCTTACTGGCCTGATCTCAGTCCCCTCACCTTTCTGCACAGGTGGGGAGCTATAGCTGTTTGGTTACCCATAGGAAAGAGGGTGATCCTCTTGCCAATTCCCCCAACTTTCAGGTCCTGGGTGGGTGCAGCCTCAGGCAGCAGGTAAGCACATGCTAGGCAGAGCTGTGCATAGCTTGTCATTGACATTCATGACCCTTGAAGGCATTTCTCTTCTATAGATAAGGAAACCTGTTTGGAAGCTGACACGCTAAAAGTGACTCAAGTAGTGCATAGTGCATGACAGAGTGCAGGCCCAGGTGGCAGGCAGGCCCTTTACAGAGAGACATCCAAACAGGTCGAATCAGTACTGGGGAAGCAGACTGTTCCCTGTTGGCCGGGTGCCTAACTTGCCCACCAGCAGTTCGGTGCTGCTTTCCTGGTCTCAGGGAAGCTGCCGGTAAGTGTCCTTAGCTGGGCTTGTGAGGATGCTCGGGTTTACGGAAGAACAAGGAAGCAATTACTAAGTTTATTTAAAAGTATCAGTCCCTGGCTACTTGGGTACATCCTATCTCCCTTTTAAGCAGATATTTTGTACTTAGAGCAAAAACTTAAGTAACAAATACACAGGAATAGTTCCTATGACTGCTAAATTTCATTTATATGTAAAGAAATGGTGACATTTCAGGCTTATGCTTCAAATTACTTACTTTAGTAATACTGGTAAAGCACTGGTGAAAAACACATTAGATAGATAAGCTTATATATGTTTATGTCCCTAATACCTAACAATGTCCTCAACTTAGGAAGCTGAAAGATGGGTTTTGGCTACTTAAGGAAAAAATAAGTAAAACTCTACATTGAAATAAACCAAGTCTCCCTTTTAATAATTAAAAGTTCATGGCTGGTTTAAAGAAAGTAAGATCTGTTTGGGGTGACATATCTGAACCACAGAGCTTCACCCATGTGTAATCATCAGGGCAGATAGACTTTTGAAGGAACCAGCATCACTAAACAGTAAGAGAACACTCAAATGCATGTGTTAGGAACCAAAACCCCCACGGAGAAATGGCGACAGAAACAAGTCTCTGAGGCCACTAAGAGAACAACCCACACAACCAAACAAAAGTGAACCAGAGCCTAACAAGACAACAAAACATCTCATTTACAACGATTTCAGATATATCAACTTCTTTAATGGAATCTAAATCTTCCTGAGGACATACCCACCCATTTCCCCCATTTTCAACCCAGAAAGCCCACTGTTATGCTCTGTTCAGTCCCCCCAGAGCCCCATCATCCTGAAGCCATCCTCCCAAGAGAACACACCAGTGGCCACATCAGGAACATGGCACCCCACCCACTCATGCACAGTCTGCTGGGCCTCGCCAGCCACCACACATACTTGTATGCACAGGCATGAAAAAGTGCAAGTGTAAGATACAAGGTATTCCAGAGCTCCCACCAGGGCATTCAAGTATCAGTGTCCCATTAAATTTCCTTCTTGGATTTTCCCATGGTGCCTCCAAAAAAAATTTCCAAGGTCAAACTGATTACTGATTATTCTGAATACTTTAACCAATTAACCCAAACAGCCAGTACTTAGTATTTCTGCCCAGACCTTTTCAACATAATCACAGTTTGAAAAATAAAAATTAGCTAAAGTAAATGCCACATCCTTTGGTGGATCTCAATTTTAAAAAAGCAAATCTCATTATTCTCAAAGCTATTTGGAAACGAATGGCTGGATCCCTTTGAGAGAACTATCTAATAAGGGGAACTTCTTGCACAAATGCCTATAAATTCAGTTGAATTGGTTAAAGACTTTCTCATTTTCAAATGATTCTCCATGTTTTTGTTATTGCTGGGAGTACTTTGTTTAGTGTCATAATGTCTCAAATTGCATATTAATTTAGCCAAAAATTACTCATCCCCAGTTCTTACATTCTCTACATCCACCCATGTAGCCTAGACTCCAAGCCTCCTAAGCAGCCTGTGCTGCCCGGTACCCAGAAGATTCAGACATACTGGACGTGGCCTTTCCCATTACAAATGCTATTTCTCCCACCATGGTGCTCACTTTCTTCTCGTTTGCATCGGCTCAGGTTTCAAAGAGTCTGCTGAATGCAGGTCTGATTTCTGCGATCATGTCCGAGGTAGTGGTGGAGCGGCCATACTTCTGGAAGGCTTGGTGGTTGCACTGCCTTGTGAGGGAGCACGCACCAAAGGCAGCCACGAGGAGGGGGCTGAAACTGCAAGGCAGACACATTAGCAAGGCGCTGTGGGAGGTGGAAGTCCTCCCTCCACTTAGGGAGGACTTGGGGGACCTGAAGCCATTAGGGACCTGAAGCCACCCACCAAGGCACTGATTTCCTTCCTGTTTCCACTCTGAGACCCCAAATTGGCAATTTCTCGTCTGATATGCCACTGAGGCGTAAGGCAGCTATATTACAGTTAAAATAACCATTAATCCTCTGATACTGATATTCCCTGACAAAAGCCATATCAAAAATACCTATCCAACTGGAGGAAGGTTAGGACAAAGCATTTTCCCTGGTGAAAACCAGACCAGGACTTGCTGATTAGCGTTTAGAAGTAGGGAATATTCCAAACCTGAGAATGCAGGTTCTTCCTAACATTGTTAGACTTCCGCTGTCACTCCTTCCCATGTGCACACATGGACTGCTCCCTGCCTGCCAGGTGTGCTGCAACCTCACAGGCCCGACACTGCTTTTCCAGGTGTCAGGCAGGGCCCTCCAGACCCAGGACGTCCCATCCTGGCATGTGTGGCCATCTATCATCATGAAGGGTGCAGAGAAGAGAAACTGAGGCTCACAGAGGGGTAGGAACTGCCAGAGTTTACTCATAAGCTAAGAGCAGAAGTGGATCAAAGCACAGATCCTAGAATTCTGCTGCCTCTTAAAGAAAAGTCGTCTCTCAAGACAGCATCAAGGTAAGCTCTACCTTCACCTGCATATTTTTTATTTTGTTTTATAGTAGGTATGCAACGAACCTTCTAGAACAGTGTCCTCAAACTTGGCTGCACATCAGAATTATCAGGATAGCTTCAAAGGCTAGGGATGCCCCAGACCCCTTTGGTATTGAATGACGGAAAGGGGCCCAGATTTAAGTAAAAACTCCCCAGGTGAAAATTTGGGGATCAACCCCTGCCTTGAAGTATCTTCCACGTAACAGTAACACCAGCATTTCATTTGGAACATTCCAGGTAGCTATTTATGAAACGTATGAGCTACTAAAATAGCTTACATAGTTCAAAAATTTCAAAGTGGGAGAGATGAAGACGTGGCATACCCATTTGTTTTCTCAGGTCCGGCGTGGAGTGCCCACTGCACTAGAACACCCAGGAATCCCGACAGGAGGTCACCTTGCCCACCACATCTGCGGTTACTGCCCTGTAGGTTGCACTCGAGAACTGCAGAGCAAAAGTGAGATGGGTGTTAGAGTGAGTGGCTTGTCTCTGCTCACGGTGTGTTCCAGGTCATCTACCCTAACCCTAACCCTGATTGCTCTTAACAAGAAAGCCTGTATTTTACAGGAGAGGAAACTGAGGCAGGCAGGGGTCTGGCTGCCCCACAACCACCTGTTTAGTATCGTGGTGAGTGGACACATGACTCAACCACTGAGGGATCTGCTGATAGAGATAAGAGAAGAACATGCACAGCACGTGTGGGCCCTCAGTCCTGCAGGACACCTCACACTCCAGAGAATCCACCTTCAATAGCATGCACACAAAGCTGGCGCCTCCTGAATGGGCTAATCCTCATGACTTCATTTCTGTTATGTAATGAGAAATTTCTATTTCTTTGGAAAGTATCTTGGAAACAGGTTATTATATGTTCTGAATGTGTGAGAGCACCATCCAGCAATAAAAGAACACAAAGGTTTCAGGATCCCTCAGAGAACACTCACTCTGTCTCCTGCCCAGCATGCAAGAGAGACAAAGTGAGACATAGGTGACAAAGGATGCCTTCTGTTCTCTGCTGGCCCTGATTTTTGTGATCTAGTCAGCAACTCTATACCTAGGCGACTGTTCTTTGTATTAAATTCTCTCTGTTAAAATAACTGGTGAATTTTTTGCCTGCGGATCAGATTTTTATGTTTTCAGGGAGCTAGAGATGTTATACAGTCTCTGGTTATGAACACAGTTGTGTAGATATGAGCAAGTGTGACAGCCCATCTTGCTCTCACTAAACGGTCCACACACTCCTATGGAAAGAATGTGACTGGAAGATTTGTCACATTCATCACCTGGAGATTTCCACTAGTGTCAGCTCCTGGGGTTTCTTCACTTTCCTGTCATTTTTGTAAAATAGGACAAATGCAGTAAAATATTCAAGTAACATCATGTATGTTGCAGGCAAGACAGGTGGCAGGGTGTGAACTCTGGAGCACCACCTGCTGTTACAGCCACCTTCCCACTGGGCTACTGCTTATCAATCGTTAACAGAACTTTAGCCACTGCACCTGGTATCAACTAGGATCAACACTGATCCTGGTATTACTTTCCTTTGCAAAATAGTGAAAAATGAAAATGGACTTTGAAGA